TAGAGGCACAAAGTAACCATTGCTTGCTTAAAGTGTAAGAAACACATCATAACTCAAACCAACTCTCATATCAGCTTACAAACCCTTAAGTGAACTTGTAAAACATACTCAAGACATCTCAACCAAGATATTGCACGACCCTAACACCTCTCATACACTCCCAATCTCAGAATCATCTTCAAACTGCAAAAACAGGGTCAGGCCTGCAGTTGGAGTGCCATCTTCCATTTCCCTCAAGCTCTCTTGCCCAAACCAGTTCACATACATTCCCTAGCACCTATGCAAGCTAACCATGACTTGAAACACGACCTGTAATCCCTCTAACCACTTCCACCATTTTCAGTTTCTTATTTTGCAGGTGAAGTGCTCTAGCACGATTCAAAAGCTTTCAAGACAAAGTAAACATTGGAATAGCATCCCTGGACCTCAAGGAAGCTTTTCCAATCATCACCTTGCACTGAAAGCTCCCTCATTTCCAGATAGAACTTCAGCTGAACAGGTATCTTGATGAACTTCTATCTCTCTTATCAAGCATCATTAGCTCTAAGTTTATGAATAAACAATGTTCTACTCATGTCACTGAACATGTACATGTTTTTACTTTTCATTTCTTTTGCTTGAGCTGTGAGAATTTGAGGTTTGAAAATGGCAGAAAATCTAGGTTAGGATTTGGGGGAGAAGAAATTCTCCCTCATCTTAGAGAGTTAGATCAAGTTCTGCATATGGTTGGATTCGTCTCTTGATGCTGAACATTTTTTATGTTATGAGTTTTCATTAATAAGCCAGGAATCAGGAGTTAGAAGATCAAGAACAGGGCGCGCGTTTTTTGAATGACACAGTTCAGAGGTTGAAGAAAGGTGGCATTGGGCTGGGCTTGCTTTGTGTTTTCTTTTTGCACCCTACAATTGGTTTTACACCCCCTGAGCCCATTTGCTTTATTTTTAATGTTTTTTGACTTTTTCTTTTTTTAATTAACTCATTTATTTTTTCTCAGCATATTAAAAATTTAAAAATATTTTTTCTCATCATTTTTGATTTTATTAGAGATTTATTTGATTTTTTCTCTTAGTTTGTACACAAATAAATAAATATATACTTTTTTGTTTAAACTATTAAAATAGCACAAATATATTCTATACACTTTTATCTTATTTTTGCTTCCTGAAAATATTTTATAGAAAAATAATTTTTTATTTAAATATTAAATATTATTAATTAATATATATAATACACATTTTGTAAATAATATAAATATATAGGTATATATTAATATACTTAGGATAAAAATATCAAAAAATGTACATATTTTATTTTTTAATATTTAATACTAAAAAATACCTTTTTTACAAATATACTATATTTTATTTTATTTTTGTATATAAATAGTAAATATTACAAATATTAAATAACTAATACCATTTTGATTAAAATTAGGGTTTTGCCCTAAATTTGAAAATACTCCAAAAATAATACCTTTTTATTTCTCTTTTTTATTTCACATAAATAATATCTTTTTTTCCATACATATAAAAATTCTTTTTACATTTTGCATATTTATTTCAATTTCCATTTAATTATACAATTATTTGTCTTGTAAATATTCAAAGAAAAATGATGTAATAGTTAGGTTTAAATTCTTGTCTAAATATACCCCATTTGAAACATTGTACCCCCTTCCCCATATTATTGTGTTGTAATAGTGTAGGAATTTAAATTTCGCACTTTTAATGCTTTCTAAACATACCATGCTAGAATTAGGGTTTGAATGCGAATAAAACGAACAAAATAGTTGGACCTAATACAAGACAAACAAGCATGAAAATGGACAACACAATCACACTTGCACCCCTAGGGTATTCCACTTTGTTGCCTTCAAATAATTGGGCCATATTGCATGTTGAATTTCTTTGGGTAAAAACAAACAATCAAATGATCATAGTCCCACAAAATGCTGCCTAAATGAATGATCAAAGTCCCTTTTAAAGAAAAATTGCCCAAAGACATTTAACACTATTGCAATTATGGTCTAAACGATGACCCGCGCCTGTCCCTTTCACCTCCTAATACAAGATTGTCCACCAAATGCAATGGTGGAACAAAATTGTCAAAAGGTTTAAAACATAACAAAAATCTTTGAGAAAACTTTAGGGTAGATAACTCTTAAGTACTTGTCAATTTGCCAAGAAAACACTTGCCTAATTTCAAACTACACTTCACAAACACTTTCAAAACAAACTTTCAAAAAACCTTGAAACATCTTTTCAAAAGATAAACCTTTTGTAAAACATTCGAGTAAAGAATTGTTACAAGGGTAGCCTATACAAGGCATCTTTTCAAAACATTTTCAAAACCACACATCAAGCACCATTTCAAACAATTGAAAACCAAGGCAAGTTGATCTAAGCAAGTACCTAAGAGCCCATGGATAACCATGGATAGAAAGGGTGCTAATACCTTCCCTTTCTATAATCTACTCCCCGAACCCAAGAAAAATCTCAAAGGTTTTTGCTGTGCTTTTTAAACCTTTCCTTAGGATAAAATAAAAAGTCGGTGGCGACTCTTGCTCAACCGAAACATTTGCGAAAACAAACGCAAAACCCTAGTCAGTTCTCCCACCGTACCACACTAAGGTTCAAACCGATGAAAGCTTGATGGTATCACCACGGTTGACGTCTTAACCATTGTTATTTACAAATAATTTTTAATTAAAAACTAAAAATAATATGATAGCGCCTTGGTTTAGATATGTCACCACGGTGTAGGGAAGAACCGTGGTGACCATGGCGTTGTTGTTAACGCGTTTTGTACTAGTGCATGTTGAGGCAACGTTCAAACAGTAAGAGTGAGATATCATAACTATATAATATAATATATAATAATAAGTGAACAATAGATTATTACAAGCACAACATACATTTCAACAACATATCACACACATACAATACACCACCACCACCACACCAATGCAATGAGACTCAACAACAATGACTCAATGCATGTGGTACCAAGATGTGAACTCTCAGGCTCACTGCTCCGATATCCACATAGGAACGAAGCTCTCCAAATGAAACTCTGTCCAAAACGCTTCACTAATCCATCACCATAGGAATTAACTACTCGCACCCAATTCGCGCAATGGGCTTGAGGCTCACCAAATACAGACCTCCGTCCAACACCATGAATGCATATAACATATTATATATGCAACACAACAAAATGCACAAAGACCTTCACCATAGTCAATGTACCTCACCACTACTGGCCACCATGCACCAAACACCTGTCAAAACATGTAGCAACAACCACACAATGATATAGCAAACAAGTATAATGCCTTTGCACAAGCTCCACAAAACAACATAACTTATCACACACCAAATCGACACATATTATGTATACAACACAACCACACGCACAAAGACATTCACCATAGTCAATGTGCCTCACCACCACTGGCCACCATGCACCAAACATCTACCAAAACATGCAGCAACTACAAACCAACGATATAGCAAATAATAACAGTGCATTTGCAAACGTTCCACAAAATAACAAAACTCGACACACACCAAACACATGTCCACGCGTCGAATAGTTGGAATTCCAGTGCAGACAATAATTTTAAGTTAAAGTAAACTAAATCAGATTTTCAACGATTCGAACGACGTATCAATCGAACATTCACAACTCAAGATATGAATTTTCAAAGATTTTCAACAAAACAATTTTTGTCATGTAACCGGTTACATCAGATGAAGTAACTGGTTACATCACTGTAACAACGTCGTTGTCTCCCTGTTTTTGTTCATGTGATTGATTACATGAAATGAAGTAATCAGTTACATCACTACAAAATCACTTTTCTACTATTTTTTGACACGAGAATCACCTTTTCTATACACCCAAACATCCCTAACTCTCACACAATACGCAAACAAGATTCCAAGTTTCAATCCTAATCACAATCCTCATTAACAACATTGTATTTCACCAAAACACAATTAAACACATGAATTCACACAATTAAGTCACCCTCATTTACATCGACATAAACATACAATTCATCATTATCAATTGCATCCAACATCATCACCAAAACATGATTTCACCATTGAAGGTTTAGCACATGAAGTAGAATTAAGTTCTAACAAGTAATTGATCCATACCCACTAATTATTATACAATCCATTAGATAATCAGAACTCCACCATTACCTTGGATCTCCTAGCTTTAGCTTTGTTCCCCTCTACAATGGCAATCTTCCCCAAACCCTAGCTTTTGTCTTCTCTCTTTCTTTCTCTTTTCACGATCAACTAAATAATTATTTATCTATTATTAATATTATTTAATTTCTCTAATTTTAATTAAATAATGCTAGTAACTAATTACTCCCTCCACCCCCAAATTCTACATAATTACTCACACACCCCAACACATCTAACTCTCTTATTCTAAGGGTTATCATCCCACATCAAAGAGCCTCAAACACATCAAATCACTAAATAACACATATCATCATATAAATTAATTAAAATAATCAATAAATTAAATTGGGATGTTATATATTGCCCTTCCATTTTTTTGACATACATCGATGGACGCTATTATTAACGGGGCAACCATGTTTTTTACAACCTTTAAGTTATTAATCCGCACCCTCTACTTTGCTTGTCCCATTCAATTTTTCGGCAGGCGGGACACTTCATTTATAAAATATTTTATATTAAAAGATTAAAATTTATAATATAACATAAGAAAAAAATATAATTTTATAATTTATAATATAATATGAAGTTCTTTTTTGTGTTTTTCAATTATAAATATAATAAAATTTGTTTAAATTAAATTATTAATTCATTTGAGTAATGAGGTAGTAATTCAAATAATATTTGCTTAACATTTTTTTATAATGTTTTAATATTAATAAAAATTGTTTAGTTTGTGCCGAAAACTGCATAAGCCCACAGCGCACGATAGCTGAACTGAATCAACTGCCAACTATGGAGCTCGACCTCCGTTCTTTCCTTCCCGACGACACCGACGCCGATGTCCACGTCACCCACCACCGCACCGTCGACGAAATTCTCAACGACTGCGATACTTCCTCATCCTCATCATCACCCTCTCCTCCTTCCTCTCCTTCTCACAATACCAAACCCACACAATTCCCTCAACCCGTACCCGTTTCCCTTCCCCGGGTCAAACCCGATAAACCTCCCCGCCCTTTCTCTTCCCTATTCGGCCGTGTCACACCCAATGCTAAACCCGGTGCCGCTCTTGCTGCCGCTGCCGCTGCTTCTAGATCCGTCCCGACGCCACATGCGGCGGCGATTATATCCCGGAGGAAGAGTTCACAGTCGATCAGAACTGAATCGGATGATTCTGATAAAGGTAGTGAATTGGGAGAGAAATTTGAGTTTGTGGAGAGGAGAATTGAGAGCAGTGAGAGTGTTTGTTCTGTTGATGAGGGTGAAATTGCAGCAGTTGAAGTGAATGGTGCTGATATTCAGGTGAAGAATGATTCTAGTGTTGTGAGTGAGGGGAAAAGTGATTTAGATGAGTGTTCTGTTTCTCATTCATTGAATGATGTTGAAAATGGTCATGATCATGATCAGGGTTTGAATTTGAACTTAAATTCGGTTTCGACACCTTTTGATGTTGATGATGACGATAATGATGATGGTTTTGGTGAAAAAACTAGTCGAGTTGAAGAAACTGAAGAAGAAATTGTAAATGGTGTTGGTGTTAGTGGTGGTTCTGTTGGAGGTATTGAGAATGAATTTAGTGGTGGTGGTGATGATGGTGGTGGTGGTGATGATGGTGGTGGTGGTGATGATGATGGTGGTGGTGGTGATGATGATGGTAGTTCAATAGGTGATGTATTTGAACTAGTAGAAGAGACACTTGAGGAATTGGAAAGTGTAAATCTCAAAAAGAAAAAATCCGAGTCTTTAAAGAAGCCACTTGATTTAGCAGAGGAATTGGAGAAAAAGAATGCTTCAACTGGTTTGCATTTGGAAGAGGGTGCAGCTGCGCAGCCAATGCGGCTTGAAGGCGTTCGGAGAGGGTCTATTACATTGGGATATTTTGATGTTGATGCTGATAATGCTATCACAAGGGCCATTTCATCGCAGACATTTAGGCGTGATCATGGTTCTGCTCAAGTCTTGGTGGTTCATGCTAATTTCATTGCAGTTGGAATGACAAAAGGGCTCATTGTTTTAGTGCCGAGTAAATATTCCATTCATCATGCGGATAATACAGATGGAAAGGTTTTTCCCTGATTCTTTCAAGCTTTTCAAACTAGCCCAACTTAATGTTAATTGAATTATTGAAATTGATATACTTGGCTATATTTGATGTGATATAGTAAACTTAGCAATAGCAATTAATATTCCATGTTATGTTTACTGCTTCCTAAAATATTTACATTAGATTTGCATGAAAGCAGATTTTGTTTGGAATATATAAGGCGCTTGACATAATGAATGGGATTCCCTATATATCAATGTAGTTTATTTGTTTATTTTAATATTAGATGAAAAATGAGAATTAATCAAACAATGATAAAAACTATCTCAGAAAATAAATTAGTAATTTGAATAATCATTTGTCCATGTATATATGTTGATAATGCTGGTCCTTTTCATTTTAAAGCATTTATTTGGTGGAGTTGTGGTATAAGATGTAGTTTCATTTATCAGTGTATGTCGTTCACTTGATAGATGTTGATGCTTGGTATACAAGGTGATCGATCACACGCTCCAGTGACGTCCATGTCTTTCAATCATCAAGGAGATCTTCTTTTAGCCGGTTATGGTGATGGTCATGTTAAACTTTGGGATACACAGAAAGGGGTTGTGGTTAAAGTTATTAGTGGAGAACATACAGCCCCAGTGGTACATGCTTTTTTTCTAGGACAGGATCCTCAGAATACTCGTCAATTTAAAGCAGTTACAGGTGATTGTAAGGGTCTGGTTCTCTTACATCATATCTCGTTGGTTGTTTTGATCAATAGGTTCAACGTCAAAACTCAGGTACATCATATTTTGGATTGAATTTAGTACTGTGTTATACAGAGGATTTGTGAGTTAATTTGATGTCTACTTGTCTCATGTATCTCTTTTTTGTGAACTTGTATTAATTTCCTAGTGTCTTCTTGATGGGCAAAGAACGGGCTTGGTGCTATCTGCTTCACCACTCCTTTTAGACGAATTCGGTGGAAGTGCCTCATCTTATTCCCAGGGAAACGCCATGGTCTCAACCAGCAGTATAAGTAGCATGGTCGGAGGTGTTGTCGGGGCTGATGCAGGTTGGAAACTCTTCAATGAAGCCTCTTCTCTGGCTGAAGAAGGTGTGGTTGTATTTGTCACCCATCAAACTGCTTTGGTGGTATGAAATTCAGATGTTTGTGTTGGTTCCGTACCTTCCGTCCTCTATTTTTTACTTCAGCTTTGTTGAAAAATTGTGCATTATTTTTTGAAGACACTAGATCATTTTTTTAGGTACGGCTCAGTCCTTCATTGGAAGTCTATGCTCAACTCTCAAGGCCAAATGGAATCCGGGAGGGTTCTATGCCATATACTGCATGGAAGCACATGCCACAAACAAGTAGTTCTACTGGTATGGATTCGTTTTGTTATAATTGGGTAGTATACCATAGTATCAGTACTTACACCTGTTACTATCGAACTATAAAGCACAAACAGTGGACATATAGACTCTGGTAATATCCAAAGTATAGGACACTGCAACACGTGTGTATATATAATATAGATTCATGTTGGCTTCTTTTGCTTACTTTCTTGTAGAAAATATGTCTGCAGAAGCTGTTGAAAGAGTTTCTTTGCTTGCAATTGCTTGGGAACGGAAAGTTCAGGTCGCAAGATTGGTCAAATCAGAATTAAAAGTATATGGAGAATGGTCTCTTGACAGTGCGGCTATAGGTCTGGCCTGGTTAGATGATCAGGTATTAAATCATCTTCTGTTCCGTTCCCTTTTATTCTTCTTTTATCTCTCTGCATTTAAAAGAATATTGTATTTGCTCAGATGCTGGTAGTGCTCACTTCAACCGGACAGCTGAATTTATTTGCTAAAGATGGAACTGTGATTCATCAAACAAGTTTTGGTGTGTTTCATCAAACTAATTTTGGTGTAGAAGGTATTGGAGGAGAAGAACTACTTTCATATCATACTCACTTCATCAACATTTATGGGAATCCAGAGAAAGCTTATCATAACTCCATAGCTGTAAGAGGAACTTCTATTTATGTACTTGGTCCAACACATCTTGTTGTTTCTCGTCTTCTCCCTTGGAAAGAACGTATCTTGGTTTTACGAAAAGCAGGTGACTGGATGGGTGCCTTGAACATGGCAATGACTCTTTACGATGGCCATGCTCATGGGGTTGTTGATCTACCTAGAACCTTGGATGCAATACACGAGGCTATAATGCCCTTCTTGGAGGAATTGCTTACATCATATGTTGACGAAGTGTTCTCCTATATTTCAGTGGCTTTCTGCAACCAAATTGGAAAACCTGATCAATCCAATGGATCAGATAGTAGAAGTAATAATTCAGTACATTCTGAAATAAAGGAACAATACACACGGGTTGGTGGAGTTGCTGTTGAATTTTGCTGTCATATAAAACGGACAGACATCCTTTTTGAGAAAATTTTCTCCAAGTTCGTGGATGTGCATGTTCAACAGAGAGGTATTATTGTCTTTGCCTTCTGTGGTAGAATATTGTTTTGAGGGCTGCTCTTTTCATTTGTCTTTTTTATTATTTAATTATTTAATCCCTAGTACCACCAGCTCTGATTATTTCTTTTAGTTAGCCACTTAATAACTTTTCCAACTAGGGTTTCTATTAGCATTCTTCTTACTTGACCATACCCTTTTTGGTGTGATTCTATAAATCTTCTCCTCGAGTTGCTACTCATATTTCTCTCATACACTTTTTCCTGATTTTATCCCATGTATTCTCATCTTTGACTTTGAGGCATAGAACTGTTGTTTTAACTCATATTTTCTTGCCCATGTGCCCAAAATCGGTAGAACAGGGAGATTATTAAGAATCATGAACAATAAATAAACTGAAGATTGTTTCTATAGAATTCTGTAAATTCTGTGTGTCTTAAGGTAGATCACACTACTTGTATTTATTCTAGTGTTACAATAAATACATTGAAGTTTAAGAGATAAGCAGTAACCTAGTTAATGAATAAGCACTAATCTAGGAAGTTGTTTAGTCTAGGAATACTATCAAGCACTCTAGAATATCTACAATCATAATTAATTCTAACACTCCTCCTCAGGCTGGAGCATACATGTTATATGCACCAAGCTTGTTACAAATAGATTCAACCCGAGGACCTCTAAGGGATTTAGTAAATATGTCAGTCAATTGATCATTTGAACCAACAAAGTCAGTTATGATTTCTCCTGAAAGAACCTTATCTCTTACAAAGTGGCAGTCGATCTCTATGTGCTTAGTTCTTTCATGAAAAACCGGATTGGAGGCGATATGAAGTGCAACTTGGTTGTCACAAATTAGTTTCATTGCCTTGATGTCTCCTAATTTGAGTTGTTGGAGTAATTGTTTTAGCCACGTGAGTTCACATGTTGTTGCTGCCATAGCACAATATTCTGCTTCTGCACTAGACCTTGCAATTATGTTCTGCTTCTTGCTCCGCCATGAGATCAAATTTCCTCCAATGAGAATACAATACCCTAAAGTGGACCTTCTATCAAATGGTGATCCTGCCTAATCAGCATCAGAATAACCCACGACTTAGGTGTTACCCTTGTTTTCATCAAGTAATCCTTTACCCGGCGCACTCTTTATATACTTAAGAATGCGAATCACAGCGTTCCAATGGTCATCACATGGAGCATTTAGAAATTGGCTAACCACACTAACAACAAATGTAATGTCTGGTCTGGTCATTGTGAGGTAATTAAGTTTGCCAACTAGACGTCGATATCTACCAGGATCTAGGATGAACCAGCTCTGATACCATATAGAATTATGTAAATTCTGTGTGTCTTAAGGTAGATCACACTACTTGTATTTATACTAGTGTTACAATAAATACATTGAAGTTTAAGAGATAAGCACTAACCTAGTTAATGAATAATCACTAATCTAGAAAGTTGTTTAGTCTAGGAATACTATCAATCACTCTAGAATATTTACAATCATAATTAATTCTAACAGTTTCAAATGATTACAGTCATGAACAATGAAATTCTTTTATGTCTCATCAATTCATGACTGTCAAATAGTACTCCCTCTGTCCCGAAATGAGTGACTTAGCATACCAATTCACACAAATTAAGAAAATTGTATTAATAAAAGATAGATAATACTGCCTCCGTTTTTTGTTATAAGTCATTTTGCCACTTTCAGGGATATTAAGAAATGTCGTTATTGTTGTCTGAAAAAGAGAAATTATGAAGGGTTTTACAAAATTAGGCTTCATAAGTATGAGAAAGATAAATTAAAAGAATAGAACGAAGAGAGAATAGCAAGTTCTTAAGGATATATTAGGAAGAGGAGTACTAATGATTCATTGGTATTGTAAAACTACTTATATTTGTACAAATTTTTTTCAATATTGACATAATAAAAAACGTAGGGAGTAGTACTTTTACTAAAACACCCTTATCATGTATTAGTGCATTCATTTTTATCATAAATGCTTAGTTGAATATATTGAACTGGGAGTGATGCAAATAATATTAATTAGATGATACAATTAAAAAGAGGTAGTTAATGTTGTATTGAAAATTGAAAAAGGTCATTCATTTTGGGACAAATTATTTTACCAATAGATCACTCATTTTAGGACGGAGTAACATGGATGTTATGCCAAATTCGAAAACTTTTTTCCACAATTATGTTATTTAATTGACATGAACTATGAAGATGGAATGGCTTGTGGGGATTCTCTTACATTATTATCTATCCTTTCCTTTTCCAATTTCAAATGTATATCAACGCAAATACTTTGTAATTTTTTCCAGAAACATTTTTGGAGCTTCTGGAGCCATATATTTTAAAGGACATGCTTGGATCTCTACCTCCTGAGGTATTGGGTCATGTTAGGCTTTTTGTGGTAGTTGGTTGATAGGTTATTGTTATTGATGTTTTAGTGTTGTTCTCATGATTTGTCTCTCTTTTCTCAAGATTATGCAAGAACTGGTAGAGTATTATAGCACTAAAGGGTGGTTACAGCGTGTTGAGCAATGTGTGCTTCACATGGATATTTCATCCTTGGATTTTAATCAGGTTATTGTCAGATCAATTGATATATGTTTACTTTCCATTCAATTCTTTTATTCGCATAGATGATGAATGATTATTTGATGCTTTCTAGGTTGTTAGATTATGCCGGGAGCATGGACTATATAGTGCTCTGGTGTATCTCTTTAATAAAGGATTAGATGATTTTAGAGCACCTCTTGAGGAGCTCTTTGCAGTTCTACAAAATAGTCCGAAGGAAAATGCTAAGGCACTTGGGTAAGCTGTTTTTCTTTTTGAGATTCTTTGCTTTTTCTATATATGTGGATTACAATTGACTAGTCAGTGGAGAATGCCGATTTATGGATTTGTGAAATTTATGGATTTTGTTTGTATTCATTCAGTAAAACCAGAAAAGAAAACCAATCCTTTTGCTTTGGAGAAATTTATCTATGAGAAGAGTAGTAGAAAACAAATTGAGTTGGCGGCAGTTTCAGTAACCTAATTAATGATGGGAATCTCTGTAAACATTCCTAATTCAGACATATCTTCCCCATCCTCCGACCTCAAATGGGACAGGAAATCAACTTTATAGTAGAAAACAAATTGAGTTGGCGGCTTCATACTACTTTTTCAAATAAAAAAAGAAACATCATATTAGAAATATGCTTGAACAGAACTTTATATATTTATTATATGCAACTTAGTGTCTGTTGACCTTATTTAAATCCAGTTCTGATCTCCCGGATTGGATTTTCTGATCTTCATTAGAAAATTTTAGACGTCCATTCTAATAAGAAAATTCATTTGGAAATTGGTACAATTATTCTGTGGCTCTCTCTCTAAATGAGAGTAGTTTATTCACTACATTTCTTAAAAGTGAAAATTCTTACTTGTTAGTATTGTCTTAGTTTGGCAGAAATAGTTAATTCTATATTTTCTTCTCTTGCTTCTCCTTTAAACAGGTATAGAATGCTGGTTTATCTCAAGTACTGTTTTATAGGTCTTGCCTTTCCTCCAGGTATTTTTTTCCCCAGATCTTCATTTGCTTTTATTTATTTTCTATTTTAAAGGTATTTTAGTAATACTACGTACAAATGATTCATCTATTGCATATAATTGTAGGCCATGGAACTATTCCTACTACGCGGTTGCCATCTCTTAGAAAAGAACTTGTAGAGTTTTTGCTAGAGGGTTCCAGTGCTACAAGATCAAGGACTGCTTCAGGTTCCGTGTCCAAACAGCCTTACCTGAATCTATATCTTCTTCTAGAGTTAGACACCGTAGCTACATTAGATGTCCTCCGATGTGCTCTCATGGACGATAAAATTTCAAATTCCAGCTCATCTTCACTGGATTCAGCTGACAAACCCATTGAAGAAGAAAACAAAGAAAATAATAATGTTACTGAAACTGAAAATATTTTGGTTCAGAATACAGTGGATGCTCTTATTCAGATAACTGATATGAATGTTGCTCCATCGGATACAACCTCTAGTAGTGGTGATGAGGGATTAACCAAAGAGTGGCCTTCAAAGGAAAAAGGTTGTCTGTTTGAGTTCATTGCATATTATGTTGCTCGCCAAAGAGCTAAAGTTTCAAAGGGAATGCTTTGTCGAATATTGGAATATCTGACATTGGATAATCACGTCTTAGCTAATGTTTCTTCTCATAGTTCAACGCCAAAAAATAGAGAGAAGCAAGTGCTTGCACTTCTGGAAGTAGTTCCTGAGTCCGATTGGGATGTTCCATTTTTGCTAGACTTATGTGAGAGAGCCAAATATTATCAGGTAGGTACATTGTCCAATTTAGTGATGCTATCTTTTGAAGCTGAGTGGTACTACTACTAATAGTATTGATTTTTTATATTACCTAGTTAAGTGATTTTACTAACTCTTTTGTTGGGTTTTAGGTTTGTGGACTGATTCATTTCATCAGACATGAGTATGTGGCTGCATTGGATAGCTATATGAAGGATGTAGATGAGCCTGTTCATGCCTTCTCCTTTATCAACAAAGCATTCTCACAGTTGATTGGCAATGACCGTGCTGCTATTCGATCAGCAGTCCTATCTCGAATTCCTGAATTGGTTGAACTAAGCAGGTATTCCTCTTTATTACCTATACTAAAGAAACATTTATGGCATTTATGACTTTTTTTCCCATTTATGTGACTCAATATTCTTCATTTACATATGCTCTTTTCTATTGCTTGTAGGGAAGGTGCATTCCATATAGTTACCAGACATTTCACTGATGAAAGTTCCCATATCATCACTAAACTTCAATCTCATCCAAGAAGTCTTTTCCTTTATTTAAAGACACTCATTGAGCTTCATTTATTTGGCACCCTAGACCTGTCTAATTTGACAAAGGATGTTTTCACAAACCCCCCTAATGGAAAGCAGGATAAGGATCTCCCACAAGGAATCCACGATTACTTAGAAAATATATCCGATTTCCCCAAGTATATGCGTGAAAATCCTAGTCATGTGCCTGATGATCTTATTGAGCTTTACCTAGAGGTGAGTTTTTGCACTATTGTTTTTGCGTGGGCAGTTTATTTCTCATGCTATCTAGAACTAATTGATTGTTAAGGCGTAATGTAATGTGTTTCTTGTTGTTCTTGGGATGTTTCATGTGCAAATTTATGTCTCTTTAGGATTGGGCTAATATTAATGCGTTTTTGCTCCTTGTCTCTTGTGTTTGATAAAAAAATTAAAGTAATGGAGTTCATTGCTGTAGTTTAAGCCAGTTCCAATGTTTTGATTTTGCAGCTGTTATGCCAGTATGAACGGGGTTCAGTCCTAAAGTTTCTAGAAATGTTTGATAGCTATCGCGTGGAACATTGTTTACGCCTGTGCCAAGAATATGGCATTATTGATGCTGCTGCTTTCTTATTGGAAAGGGTTGGTGATGTTGGTAGTGCTCTTTCACTTACACTTTCTGATCTGAATGATAAATTTGTTGAGCTTGATGCTGCTGTGGAAGCTGTAGTGTTAAACCATCCCAAGCTTGATTCTTCCCATATGGAAGTATTCAACACTGTTTTAAGAACAAAAGAGGTTTGTATATATGTCCTGGTGTTATAACATTTTAGTGAAGTTCCAAAGATGCATGTTTGTTTTGATGAGTGTACAGTGCTTGCATGTTTTGCGTGTATTATGTAACCTAACCTTTTTAATGGCTACAAATCCAATAGGTGAATGTCATGTATGAGTTATTGCATGCATGTATCGGTCTGTGTCAGCGGAACACCCCTCGTCTAAATCCTGAGGAGTCAGAGGCACACTGGTTTAAATTACTTGACTCGTAAGTTTAATATCACCATGCATTGTCTTTCTTTCACACTTATTTATTAGTCTGTTTGTAGCTTAATTACATGAGTTTTATGATAATCACGATGTTACAAATATACTTGTATGGTTTATAGCTGATAGTATTCATGATAAGATTTGTGAAGAAGAAAGAAGTTCAAATTTTTACAGCTTCTTGTCCCGTGAAAATTAGAAAGGATGAATCAAAAGTAAGGTCAACTTTTAGTGGAGATAAAAGTGACTGATTGAATTCTACAGATTGTGTATAATGATCGATGTACCGAGTGTTCTAGGAACAAGCTGTCCTACATTTTTTCCTGACATTTGGGAGCTCTTTCTACCCTTTGTTTTTCATACAGGTTTTGTGACCCATTGATGGATTCATATGTCGAAGAGCGAGAATATGAAAGAAAAAATTATTTTGGCGTGCTAGCTGGATCAGCAGATTCACAATTGGACAAAGACACCTATAAAAGTAGTTGGAAGATTTCTCAGTCCGGAAATGGTGATCTCGAGAGAAAATTGTTATCCCAATTCATTAAAGAGATTGTTGAGGGAATGATAGGTTATGTTCACCTTCCAGCTATCATGTCCAAACTATTGTCTGATAATGGTAGTCAAGAATTTGGCTATTTTAAACTTACCATATTAGGGATGCTGGGAACATATGGCTTTGAAAGAAGAATTCTGGTAAGATAAACTTGTCTATTTTGGTTTCTTAAATATTTTAAATTTGTTTCACTTGTCAAGATTTACCAAATATCTTATTTTTCGTCAAACATTTCCTATTACAATTTATCAATTGAAGCTTTACAAAAATCTTCTCAAGGATTTTTTAGTATTGCATGGAATATCTAGAATTTGTATGGACAAATTAGTTTCTCTCTTCTCTCTTATTTTCTTCTTCAAGGATTTCTTGTTTTTCCCTGATTCTCTTCTCTTGTTTCTCATTCTGCACTTAGGATGCTGCAAAATCCTTGATAGAGGATGATACATTCTATACGATGAATTTACTCAAGAAAGGGGCCTCCCATGGATTCGCTCCCAAGAGTTCAGTGTGCTGTATTTGTAATAGCCTCCTTATAAAGAATTCGGTTACCACCGGAATTAGAATTTTCAACTGTGGCCATGCAATTCATCTCCACTGTGAAGCCTCTGAAGTCGAGTCGTCAAGCAAAGGATCTTCATCTGGATGCCCTGTATGCATGCCTAACCAAAAACCCCAGAAGTCTAGAAACAAATCCATCGATACAGAGAATGGTTTGGTCAATAGATTCTCATCAAGGCGCCAACCCACTCATTATGGAAGTACAATTCATCACCATGACAACGATTTATCAGAGAATATCTATGGAGGACAACAACAGATATCACGGGTAAAATACAAACAAACCTCTAGTTCATTCTATTAATATAACGACTTTGTTCATACTTTTACATTTCGATTAGTTGGAGAGGAATGATGGAGAGGGAAGAAAGTTTTATGAATCATTCTTATTTGGTTCAACATTTTGACTTCTTGCGATATTGTCTTTTTGTGCAGTTTGAGATCTTGAGCAGCTTGCAGAAAAACCAAAGATTTATGCAATTTGAAAACTTGCCTCCATTGAGACTTGCCCCACCTGCTGTATACCACGAAAAGGTAAGTAAAGTAGCACACTATCAGACAGGAGAAAGTAGCAACAGTTCTGCAATTATAGAGAAAAATAATCGTCACAAACAAAACCGGGAGCTGAGAGTTAGAGGTTCTTCGATTCGTTTTCCTTTGAAATCAAGTTTTTTTGGTGAGTAATGTTATTATTTAAGTTTTGGTTCTCTTTATAGAGCTTAATCCTGACACAAGGGAAATAATGCATATCTGCAGGCAAGGAAAAGACGAATAAGCGATGACATAACTGTTTTACGAGAACAAGAAATCAAGCAATAACAACTAACTGTACAGGCTAACAGAAGATACCTACCTCTCTATTAGGAGATTTGATGTATCTCAATCCATTATTATTCTTTTGTATGTTAACTCTACTTTTTGTATATGTTATGTATATATAAGTTATATGCAGAAAGTTGTGTATCTGTACAATAGAAAAACCATTCTAATGAGTTGATTACCCTGACATTTTTGCATGCCATTTTTGTTTTAAAGAATATTAATAAAAGCTTCATTCTCTTTCTTCTTCATACTATGCAACTATTTGAGGCGGTAAACGGAAATTTGAATTTAAGATACTTAAAAGTGTCAATCAAATTACTAAATAGTTTGACAAAAACAAATCATTTGATATACAAAATTATCATTGGAGGTGCAACATGTATGGAGTTGTTTTCGACCTATAAATAATTATTACGGAGACTCATTTGTCCCATAAATCACATTTAATTTGAATATAATTAGTAAAACCCAATGTTAGCTCACAGTTTTCCTTTTTCATTTGTCCCATAAATCACATTTAATTTGAATATAATTAGTAAAACCCAATGTTAGCTCACAGTTTTCCTTTTTCATTTGTCCCATAAATCACATTTAATTTGAATATAATTAGTAAAACCCAATGTTAGCTCACAGTTTTCCTTTTTCTTTATGCACAAATCATAAACTATACATGAAAAAGAAAGAATTAAAAAATTTAATTTTAGAAGGGCCCAACCGGGTTCGAACCGGTGACCTCTTGATCTGCAGTCAAATGCTCTACCACTGAGCTATGGACCCTTTGGTGCTAGATGTCGAATCGTTAAGTTATATATAAGATAAAATATGTGGGATACACACACTACAATGAAAAGGACTTGGAATTGATCCATATATTCAATGCCAGATCTGCAGGTAAGAAGGTTCACACATCATTCCACTCCATTGAACTTTACACATTCAATTCACCTAAGAAAAATTTCATAAGTCCAAATATTTAGTCAAACAAACAGTCTCTAAATATATACTAGTCTATGTAAATATACAGTCAAAATAAAATTTTAGCACCATAAGAAAAGTTAAGAAACGTTTTTGTTTGAGATATGAACACACTTAAGAAATTTATGACGTTTCTTCTATAAAAATATTATTGCAACGATTCTATGAAGAGTGTATAACACATATTGTTAATTCAATTGATGACTCAAGTGGAGTATCTTTAACAACATCATCATGATAAAGTTGTTGGTCATTAGTTACATTCTCATATTCTATTTATATATCTTTTCCATCGACATAATTTCTATTAGAAGATTTAGGCACAACATCATTGTAACTTTTAACATCAAATTTCGGCATCTCAGCTTTATCAAAGTCTTGAGTAGTTTAGTCTTCAAGAAATATTACATCATAACTTCTGATAATTTTCTTGTCATTTTGATTCTACAATCTATAACCAAACTCTTCATGACCATAACTTACAAATACACATTATTTAGATCTTTTAACAAACTTAAATCTCTTATCTCTTAGAATTTGAATAAAATCCCTGCAAAGCAAACACTATCAGTAAGAGAATTCTTTTCATGTCCATACTTTTTTGGAACATCACCCTCAAGTAAAACAAAAGGAGAAATATTAATCAAATTCATTGTAGTTTATCGCGCTTCACCCCAAAAAGATTTTGATAATTTTACATGATAGAGCATACAATTGATTCTGTCATTAATCATATGATTCATTCTCTCTCCACAACTTCATTATGTTGAGGTGTCTTTGGAAAAATATTCTCAAGCTTGATTTTATACTCTTTGCAATACTCTTCAGATGGACCTATATATTCACCACCGTTATCAGCTCTGACACGTTTCAACTTCCTTTCTTTTTCTCTTTCAACACTTCCATGAAAGTGCTTGAAAACATCAAATATATGGTCTTTAGACTTCAAGACAAAATCTCACACTTATCTAGAATGCTCGTCAATAAAAGTAATAAAATATGATGGACATCATAAATATTTACCTTCCATCATGTAAACATTAATATGAACTAAATATAGAATATTTGACTTCCTACCAAGACCATTACTATGGAAGGAAACTATATATTGATTACTAGAAAAACTACGAGTGCAAGTTTTTAGAGGATTAACTTTTACCGGAAGAAATTTTTTCTTTACAAGAGCATTGTATCATTTCTCACTTAAGTGACCAAAGTGCATATGTCATAAATCACTAAATGCATCTTCAGCGGTGTTCACTGTAACGCCCCGTTTTATTTAATATTATATTAATATTTTTAAGTTACCGTTTTATGTTTATTTTTGCGACGAGAATATTTATATTAATCGGTATATCTGTTAATATATTCAGCGACGTTTTATTCGGACCGGTAATTATTTTATTCGGTTCAGTATTTGTTTTGAGGGACCGGTAATTATTTTATTCGGTCCGGTATTTATTTTGAGGAACCGGTAATTATTTTGTTCGGTCCGGTTTTTATTCCGTTCGGTTCGGTAAAATATTATTCGGACCGATATTTAATTATTCAGAGTTATTTTAATTATTTAGAGTTATTTTAATTATTTGGGTTAATAATATTATTTAGTGTTAATTAATGGTGATATATCAAGAAGGGCTTTTTGGGTATTTTGTTATCTTATGTCTTGCTTCTAAACAAACAAAACCCACCATTTCCTTGTTTTATGACATAACACCAAAAACACACTTAGAGAGAACTAGAGAGAGTCTTGGAGGAAGAGAAGAGCAAGAACACAAAGCTTGAGTTTTGGGTAGGTTGGAACATCAAGAATCATTCAAACATTTAAGGTAAGGGGTTTGATTTTCCCATGCTTATAGTTAGGGTTTGATTTGATATATTTTGATTTGAGATAAAATTGATGTTAAGGTTCTTTTTGAGATAAATTAGGGGAGTTAATTTAGGTGTTAGTGTTGTGGGTTTATTGTTTTGTTAATAGAAATTAAGATAGTAGTATGTTATTTGAATTAAGAAGAAACAAAAACTAGCAGTAGAGTTTAGTTTGCATATAATTTAGAAGAAATAAAATCTTGCAGTATGTTTATTAATTAAGTTTAGTTATATACTAAGAGGTATAGCAGTATACTAAAAGGTATAGCAGTATACTAAAAGGTATAGCAATTTAGTTTTTTAAAAAAAAAAACGTAAAGTGGCAGCACATTTCTTGAAATAAGTTAACTACGCTAAGTATATTAATTGATGAAGGTTATAACTATGCTAAGTAAGTTAATTGATGAGGTTAGAAAAAAAATAAAAAATAACAGTATCTAAACTAACAGTATGTTTATTAATTAAATTTAGTTATAACTAAAAGATATAGCAGTATGTTTATTGAAATAAGTTAATTATGGTAGCAGGATATTCAAGTTTATATAAGCTAGCAGTATATCACATATTCAAGTAGTAGAACATGCTAATTGAAAATACAATTCACATGCACAGTAAGAAACAATTTTCGCTGAAAACTAAAGAACTTGCAGTGGAAATGAAAACTAAGTTTAGAATTAATTAAACTATGTTTTGTTTTTATTTTTATTTATTTATTTAATATATTAAATATTTATATTAATTAAATACAAATATGACATACGTTAGCCGATTTAATTTGGAACCCAATTATGTTTCGATTTCCCGATTTCGGCAATTTCGGTGACGGAGCAAGTTGCTTCGAATTTAACGAAAATTGACGTGCTAGCTAATTTCAACGTGTAGAACGTCGTGGTGAGGTTAGTTTTTCGAGATTACGAGTTTTTACCGGAGTGACCCGAAATAAGACAATTTACGGTTAAGTTGAAATGGGTTACGTTTTAGTCGGTTTAAGTCGCGTATAGACAATCCGATTGCGACGTTAATGATTATGATTGATGCCGATTATTATGAATGACTTTCGTGACGATTATTGATGTTTGACTATTTTCCCATGTTTGAAATTTAGTGAATTATTTGATAATGATGTGGTGTGATTAAATATGATGTTTGCGGCGGTTTATTTATAATGAATACTTGATGATATGCGATGCGATGATATGTTTATCTTGATGTGAATAAATACGGCGACGTGGGCTTTATACCAATTTTGATGTGTGATGATGATGTTTTGTTGTGTCGTGTTTGTGATGTCGTGTTGTCGAGTCATATACATTGCATTGGCGACGAGGGCTTTTATGCCAAGCGACGAGGGCTTTTATGCCAAAGCAACGATGGTCTTTTATGCCGAATGTACCTAATTATGGACAAAGCGACGGGTACCACATGCATAACATAGTCGTGTCTCATGGAGTCGGTTATGTTTATTTTTGAGTCTTTTGGTGTTAAGTTTTATTTGATGACTTATAATTAATTGCGATGATATATGATACTTTATTTTGTGATGATTTTTGTGTTGAACATAAAGTGATTATGATGTGATAATTTCATGGAAATTATGCGATGGATATAACATGACGGTAAAGCGACGATATGAGTTTATGGCGATGGAGTTTATGTCTTGTTTTGACATGATTATGGTGATTATGTGATGATATTAAAGTGTTGATCGTATACAAAGATTTTATTGATTTTAAAGTATGTGAGATTTGATATTTGTTGACATATTCTTATTAACCTATATCATTTATGATTCCAAAACTATTTATATATTTTATCATGCCTTTAATTATATGTTTTGGAGTATCTCACCCTTTACTTGTTTCGCCGTTGCCTTTATATTGGTAACGTGCAGGTGATCCGCGAGGATGATGATGATTAGCTCGAGTCTCTTTATTTTGAGTCGCTCTGCTCTGATAGTAGTAACACTTGGGATTTGGGCGACGTTATTATTTTGATAGGATAGTTTATGTATACTATCTTATGACTTTATGTATTAATGATAACATAATGATACGTACATTTTGTGAACATATTCGCTGTGTTGTGATTAGTCATATGTTTATATGATAATTTATGT